AAAATTAATTTATTTTATATAATTCTCAGTTAGAAGCAGCTCAAAATTTTTAATGCGAGGTTATTGTCAAAGCGATGCAGCAGGCTATGAAATTATCAAATCAATATTTTTCCACTTCCAACTACCAAAAAGATATTTAATTAAACCTCAAAGAGCCCACTGAATTCAACGCAAAAGTTTACTATTTTACGTCCATGAATAGAACACGGTCAAAAATTTTAAAATGTCGCGTGGCTTCTGCTGCCATTTGCAAAAATCAAATATTCATCTCCGCTCTGAGCGCAATGGAGCGTGTAGGTTAAAACCAGCGGAAGTAAAATTAAAATTAATTTTTTTTCAGCTCTCTGACAGAATTAGGTAAAAATTAAAATTTTTATTTATTTCTTTTAAGTTCTCAGATATGTATACTCAGCTCAAAAATTTTAATGCAAGCTTATTGTCATAACGATGGATTAGCAATAGAATATGCTTGTTTTTTTGTTGAAATGGCTTTAATTACATTTATTATATAATATTTAAAAAATTGGCATCAGTGATCACCTAAGCGCCGGTATATTTTGAGGTTATTGTGTAATAATAAGTTAAGGTCTTTTTAACAGTTTCAAATTTTCTACAACAGAATTTGACTAAATTTGATATTCGATGATATAATTACGGCTTTAAACTGTTTTTTCAAACATACTGAACTTGTATACCATAAGTTCGATTAATCATAAAAATCATATATTTTAACGTTATAAAAAATATAAATCATATTATTAAGCACACTTACGAAAATATTTTTTTTTTTGTTTTATGTTTCTGCTTAATTATAGCAATTCTGTTTATTTTCAACTTTCATCCACAATTTTTTTTTTATTTTACACTTTTTAATTTGTGTTAATTAATTTATTTTATACAGTATGTCTTACTTATTATTTTAGTTATTTTACAAGAATATTTATTATACACAAATTAAGAAAAACATTTAACTAGTTAAGTATTACGGTTAATAATTAAAGTCATATGTCAGTTATAGGTTTAGTAATGCACACAATAATAAATATAATTATAATGCCACTGTTCATGCCGCAAATGACTTTTACACTTTATAATGTTTCCACTTTTCACTTTGTTCATTATGAATTTTCGCTTTTCCTCTTTGGCTTAGGCTATTATTATATGAATAGATTAAAGTTTGTTCTTAATATTCTACATTTGAACTTAGAATGCTAAAAATGTGTGATTTTGTTAAGCTTCTGGTTCTCAATAAAATTGTAACATTTCACAGTTAGTTTGCTATAATATTTCGCATAATTTCTTTTTTAATACATTTAGATTATGACTGGTGCTTTACAAATCCACACATATAAAATGACATTTTTGACAGTTGCGTTAGCTGTCAAGCAGGTGCTGGTTGTTTTTGTTTTTGACTATTTTTGGATTTGAAAACAAATTTTTTTAAATACACCGCAGTTGCTTTTTTTGCAATTATTTTTTAAAAATTAGCTAGTAATTTGTATGATATTTTTCGAATGACTGTAAGTTTACTTATATATTTCGAATAACTATGTAACGCCCCAGTACTTGATCGTACATAAATATTTTTGAGTTGTAGATCACCACAATCCCTTGCGTGTCGGTTTCCAGCGCATTCACTTTGCTCGACAAATTTTCGTCCTCTGTCCTTCTTCAGTTTATTCAATCGAAAGTTGATTTTCGCCTCCATAACCAATTACCAGCCTTTATGAAGCTTCATGCGCTTAGTTGCCTTCCGGTTTAGGCAAATTCGTGTCGTACGCGCGTATAACGACGGATTGTGGCACTGCACCACCTTCCTCTTGGGAGAAAGCGTAACCGTCTATATTATAAGTTGAAGAAAATAAATATGATTAATATTGTTTGCATACAAAGTTTGAAGTTCGTAAGAGATTCCAAAGAAATTTTAAATCTAAGATCCTTTAAAGTAATTTTAAAACTCAGATATTTTGAAACTTTGAGCTGAATTCTGTTAACGTCACATTTTCCTAGCAAACAAATTATAATTCACCGGATTAATTACCCAGCATCTTTCTAATAGAATTTCTATTCTAATGCTGACAATCTGACTTTTATATAAATAAAATATTTCTCTTCAAATATTATTAAACATAATTATTAGTTTCTAACCTAATAACTGCATACAGTAAGCTTTCACTAAGTGAAAGCTTTTTTTCGTAAACTCCTTATATCATCCAAGCCTTTTATTGAGCTCAATTTATTTCTTCGCTATTTTCTATGTATATCGTTTGATAAAGATATATTTTTAGCAATTTCGCTAAGTGAAAGCTTCTTTTCATAAGCTTACTTATATTATCAAAGCTTTTATTTGTGCTATGTTTATTTCTTCTCTGTTTTCTATGTATATCGTTTGGTAAAAAAAAAATAAAAATATTTTCCACAAATCTACAGGCCACCTACTAGGGTGTACGATTATTAAGTATACAGATTTTTAATTAAAAATTAATTTTTTTCTTATTCCTAACATTTTTCTGTAAAGCTTTCATCTATTTCTAGCTCAACTGGCTTGAAATTCAGCCTATTCTTTTAGCTTTCACAAGATTGCTACCACTTATAGCTTTTAGTGGAGTAAAGCTTCTATATTTATTGATGAGAGCTTTTAAATGTAAAATAAGCTCCGAAAGTTTTATAAAATAAAAATTTCTTTGGAATCTTTACTAAAAATCTTAGAATATGTATATCTAATATTTGAGTGAGTTGTGTTGTGCTTTCGACGCCTGAGTAAGATTTTGGTTGACTGTTAGTTGTTGATGAAAATGTTTTCAATAAATACATGAATGTTAAGTATATTATTAGTTTACATATGTATTTCTTTATATATTATACAAATTGTGTTGAACGTTGGTGCTAAATTTATTATGCTTTTTAATAAAAATGAATCAAGGTTTGAATTCTTTATAAATTTTTGCAGTGTTACCTGAGGGTACCCAAATCTTAAACCAAATACTGAGATAAGTTTTCAACCTACTTAAAAATTTTCAAAAATTAAAAAATACGTGAAAGCTCAATATTTTGAGGGTGCTTTTATATGTATAATGACCGAGCAATAGGACGAGTGAAAGCTCACAAATGTTACTTGCGACAACAGCGCTTTACTGAAAGCGTCAAAAGCTTAACGACCGAGCAATGAGACGAGTGAAAGCTCACAAATGTTACTTGCAATAACAGCGCTTTACTGAAAGCGTCAACACCTTTTGAAAGTTTTTTCTAACATGGTATTATATTATGTGAAAACATGTTAAACAGCAAGAGTAATAGAAATAAAACAAAAAACTTACTTCAGCAACAACAAATGAATTGCAGAGTGAACTTGGGTCAGCGACCTAAGCATAGATTTTTAAATTAATAAGTGTTTAACTGATAAGAAAATATCCGGAAATCTATTGTATAATGCTTTAGGTTCACAGCTGTAGAAAATTAAGGGCTCGCTCAAGAGTCATGGCAAATAGTCATTAGTGATAGCTGGAGAGACCGAGTGGGGAAACATATCACGGCGCTTTTTTACTCTAGCAACACCACGAACTAATGACAAGCTTTATTGAATTAAAAAAAAAATATATATATATATATTCAAGTATATACATCAAAAATAACAACTTAACTATTCAGTCAGGTAATTATTGAGCTATCAATCTTTCAATAACATACACAAACCTTTGCGATATAATCTATTAAGGCACCTGCTGTGTCGACAATGAAGTTTCATAACAGATAGTTACCCAGAAAACATTATTGCCGATTATGGAAAAATTGTAAGCATCTAAAAAAATGTAAAAGCTTGCTTCTCATAAAGCTTAATTATTGGCGATTCACGATTTTCGTTTTATGAAGTTTTAAATTAGACGAGAACCTCTCTTTTCTGCTTCCATAGGCTTCTTAAGAGTACTTTCGTGAATAAAATTTTTATTGCGAAGCATAAAGTCATTTCGTATTTTTTTACAAAATATCAGAGAGGCAAAAGTATTTGATATAGTCAAAGTTTTCACTAAAAATTTTGGGAGCAAAGCATTATTCATATAACTTAAGCCAAAAAGCTGCACAGGGAACTTTCACGGATGTTAAAAATTAATTTTCATCACTTCCAATCCTAAAACTATTTTTTATAATTTTTAGTATTTGTGTTATAAGTTATCACCGAAGGAATGTATTATATATCTCTAATAATAGAAACTTTTACTGGCAATTAAAAATTAGCTCATAAAAAGAAAAAGAAAATTTCTAAAAATTCTTGAAATTCATACTTTATACTCTCTGAGAATTAACAAATTCGATTCCACTTTGAGATCTTTGATAAAAAATTCGCCATTTCATTCGAGAACAATATTCTCTCGAGCACTTGAGAAGACTTGCCGTGAGAATTGACACCATTATATAAAGAAAATTATTCTCGAGCAGAACGTTTGCGATATCGTTTTTAAAATTTAGTGCCGGTTACCTCCTATTCATCATGAATTCCACTTCATTTCAACATTATTTAAGAAAGGTTTAGTATTGCTGAGATTTGCTCACGTTTTTGCTTACTGGGTGGTGTTTACCAGTGATGAAGTAAATTTATAAAATCACGCTGACTGGTCAATACTTTAATTGAATATACATTTATTGCATTTTTCTGATTTTTTCCATTTCATTTGTTGTTGGTTTTTGCTAAACATATTAAATATTGCTTTTACGTCCACACTCTTAAAGCAAATTGTTCATTGAGTTAGTAACTTTATATTTTTTTCATTTCGAAGCAATTTCGTCACTGATTAAAAGTTTTCCTACTACTAGCATTTATATGCCTACCTAAATATCTAGAAATCTTTATGAGGTAAGGTATAAGGGTGGCTAACGTAAAACATACAAACTTCACTCAACTACAAGGGAAACCCATCGTAGAGACACTTTTTTATATTATATACCACAAATGTTGTTAATTTTTTCATAGGGTTTTATGTATTTGTACTCACGCGACAGTTCTAGTTCCGTTTCGACTCTGGTATTGGCACGACGCGTAAAAACGCTACGCAGCAGCCTCGCTGTTTCACTGAGTCTGTCGTTTTTTCATTTTTTTTTTATATTTTTTTGAGATACCGAATATTTGTTTAATTTTTTTTAAGAAATCATCGTTGTGAAATTAAGCGAACGGTTGATTGTTGTTGTTGTTTATATGAGAAAAGAAGGTAAATAAATAGGCGATGGCAAAAATGTATGCGTTTAAGCAAGGATTATTAGTAAGAGAGGAGCTTTTTTTATCTCATACTGATATTGGTTGATTTTTTTTTCTGTAAAAAGGTCGCGCCAATTTAATTTTGAATTGTCAGTAGAAGTGAATAAGGAGTTGTTAAAATAAAAATACTGCTTTAAAGTGTCTACGCCAAGGAAAGGAATGATTACTATGTTTAAAAAAAATTTCTTACTAAACTACTAATATAATTAAAGTATAATTATTAATATATAAATATATGTATGACTATAATTTTAAAAGTGAGCTAGCACAATTTCTTTAAACATGAAACAAACAGTTTAATTTTCTAACACATTTGATTTTTTTTTTTTACTAAAATATTTTAAAATCAAAAATGTCAAAAAAAAATATTTTAAATTTTTTTAACAAACAAAAATTTTTTTAAATTGTATTAACTGTTTTACTAATTTTTATTATATTTGTTAACTAATTTTTCTAAAATTTTCAAAAACTAAAAATGTTAAAAATAAATAAATAAAATTAAAATAAAAATTATTTTATTTTTTGGTTCTAAAAAAATTAAAAAATTTTAATAATTACAAAACTTTTAAATTGAAATTAAAAAAATTTTAAATTGAAATTATTTTAAATATATTTTTTTAATGATTGAAGTTTTCTAAAAAACTTTCTTTGGACCAAAAAATGTAAATTAAAATTAACAAATTTTCAAAAGTTAAATACAATATGTTTTTTATTTTCTTAAATTAATAAATTTTTTAATGTTTTTAATTTAAAAATATTTTAGAAAAAATTAAAAAAAAAAACAAAATACATACATATATGTATATGTTATGGAAATTGCTCAAAAAAACTTTATATTATATAATAAGAGAATTTATTAATTATTGTCACTAATTAATTTTTTTTTTTTTAATTACAAAAACAAATAAAAATTTATGAAAGCTATATTTCGCATTTTATCATATTTATAAAAAATAAACCACCACTTGACTAAAACAATTTTAAATTTTACATAAATGTTGTGACAGTAGAAACAATAAGTACAAATATGGGCTCACGAATTATTTATGTAGGTATGTAATTAAAAAAAATTTATTTTAAGCAGCTAGGCATGCAATTATTTTTTTAATAACTTTTTTTAAATTGATTAAGTTTAAACATGTATTTCTTAAGGAAATCACAATCAAGGGAAAATGTTTAAATTTTGCTGTTGATTATTAAGAGTTTTATGAAATTGATACTATGTGTGGTTTTTCATTGATTATGGATTGGGACAAAAGTGCGCAGTAAGAATTCTGATTAAGGACAGTAAAAACATGAAGTAGCAGTTATGTTCACACTCAGATGTTTTTAAAAAATATTCATTTTTTTAAATTAAATTATTTTTTTTTTTATTTTTTTTAAATTTTTTTAAAAATTTTGTTTAATATTTTTTTTTAATTTTTTTAAATTTACTATTAAGGAATTTACTATCAAGGAAACCAAGTTCTTGTAGCAAAAACTTTTTTATTTGACAAGATATCTTTACAAAATTTCGTATGAATTATTCTCCAAAAAAGCGCCACAATCTCCGTAGAAATTGTTTAGATCGGATCATTATAGGATGTAGCTGCCATACAAATTGAACCTCAAAATATATATACGCTTTTACACTATACAAAATTTACCTATGTAGGATTTTATAGCTTCGGTGCAGCCGAAGTTGACGTTTTTGCTTTTTTGCTTATATTTTGTTATTGGATATTGAATATACAGCTCACAGATAGGCAGTCGGTTACTTTACCACAAAAGTCGTCAATTTATATAAATATTTTTGCATATGTCATCAGTGGCCACAAAAATACTAAGTATACTAAGTAGTAGTGATAGACATATATGATTATGTTACATTTCCAATTACTATTTATTCCTTTAGCATTACTATTTCAGCAAGAAAGTTTACTACTCTATACTCAGCAAATATTTCTACAAGTAAAAATTTTGAGAATATAACGCTAATATATATAATATATATTGCAACGCATAAACAAAATCCCAATGGATAAATGATTATCAACGCACAACTTCAAATTACTAGTATAATTACATTACTGTACTACATAGAGCGAGAGGCAAAGTTCGAAAACTGAATCTCTAGAGAACCAACTGCGCTAATTTGTTTTTAAATTACATTGTTTATTGTAAGTTAGGCACAGCTACTATACTGCATGTGTGTATGTGTGTGTGTGTGTGTGAGGGTCCGTTAAATTTCCTTGTTTACTAAATGTAAGGTGAGAGGTATTCATTCCTCTGTACTAGTGTGAATGCAGATGTATTTGTATGTATGTGTGCATGTATACATATGCGTGTGTGTGTGTGTGTATTGATTTATGGCCACTGTGATTGGCTGTGCGATAAATTGCTGCCATTGCAATGCACTCGTTTATTATTTGAATGTGTAAATGCAGATGTCAATCTCCACACAGCAAAGGGCAGCACGAGTCCTACACACACACACACTAGAGCAGCACTGCGAGCCTGCTTTGTGCATAGTTTGTATGTGTGGCGATGTCTTGTCACTAATGTTGGTGCGTTTTATTTGCGCTTTCATCTAATTGACTTCGACAGTGACATTTTCAAATTCAAATCACTTGCTCGCAATCAACAGCGCGCTGCATTTGCCCATGTGGGCCACTCTTTTCATGGTCAGCACGTCAAATAAGTCAGTGATTTTCGCTAATTCTACGGCGAGGTGGTGCGTTCCATTTGCGTTTAATTTGAAAATTGAACAATTTGCGTATTTTTCCGCGCGACTAAATATTCAACTGTTAAATTTTTGATGTGTTTGTTGGCTATGCTGAATGGTGCGCGATTTATATTTTCTGACTTTTCGCGCATTTGACTGCGCAATGTGTCCTTGCGTGGTTTTTGTGTGTTCAACGCGGATTTTTGAAATTTTTTTTTAAAGTAATTGAGTGATTTGTGAGTTATGAGCGTCGTTGCAGTGAAATGTGTGTTAAAATTTTTAAATTTGTGTGTCTAGTTTGCTACTTTCTTTACTTAAGTCATTTACTTACACCGAACTATTGATCCCAGTGCATACATTGTGCTGCAATGATGCACAAAATAATTGAAAATCATTTTAATGTAATTATTAATATTGTTTTTGTTATTTTGCTTCTTTTTGAGAATTGTAAACTAAATATATTGGCTTAAACATGTGAAATTTTTTGAATTCAATTTTATTAAATTTTTTGTTTTGCAGTTCGTAATAAATTTAAATTTAATTTTAATTAAAAATTGTGCATTAATTTTTTTATAAAATTTTTGATAAATAAAATGTTTGCATTAATTTTTTTTATAAACAATTTTGATAACAAAATGTTATTTCAATTTTAATTACATATTTTGTTTTGTATTTAGTATTAAAATAAATTTTACTTTTAATTAAAGTTTTTGCGTTAAGTTTTGATAAATAAAATTTGTGCATTAATTTTTTTTTTTAATTTTGATAAAAAAATTTTCCTTCTATTTTTAATTAATTACTTTTTATTTTGTATCAAGTGTTAAAATTAATTTAATTAATTAATTTTTTTCACAAAAAATTCGATAGTTAAAATTTTGCGTAAATTTTTTCATATAAAATTTTGATAAAGTTGTTGAATTGCTGCTCAGTTTATAGTGCAAATTGTTGAATTACTGTAAAGATTACGCTCAAAAAATTTTTTTCTGATAATTAATTAATATACTAATAATATTTTATTTGTTGTTTTTTGGTAGTTAAGCCGAAACTTTACTGTGCGCTTAGTTTAAGATTATGAAAATAAATAATTTTTAAAAATTCTTAAAAAATTTTTTTACTCTGTATAAAATTTAAAAATTGTTTATAAATTTATTTTTTTTCTGTTTTAAGAATTCTTCATATATTAATTGTTTTCTTATTCATATTCGTATTTTTTGCATAAAATTCGGCGTTTACTGTGATTGTGTTGTTTATTTAAGTGTTATTTGTTTTTTTGTTGGTGGAGATTTGAAAATATAAAATATTTTTTTTTTTAACACATAAATAGTAGCTACAACAAGAAAAACAATTAAAAAATTAATGCATGCAAACAAAAGTTTTAATTTAAAACATGCCAAAAAAACCTGAACATTTATGAAATATATCGAAAACATTCAAAAACACCATTTTTCAAATATTTCAACACAGAACATGCTTGCATAGAAATTTTAAAATATGTATAAAAATGAATATACTTTTTGTAAAAAAATTGCAAATATTTACTCAATAAAATGTAAAAAAAAACAAACAATAGTAAATTAAGCAAGTTATATTTTTTTAATAAAAACAGGATACTATTTCAGGACCTTGTTATTGAAAAAATATTTGAAATTTTAAGAATAAAAAAAAAAAAATTATTAATATTTTTTATAGTGTAAGCTTTGTTAAATAAAAATGTTTGTAAAAAAAATTTTTAGACAAAATATTTTTTATTATGAAATTTTTTTTAAATAAAATATTAGTCAAAAAATTTTTCAATTAGTTTTAAAGTGAAAAATTTTTTACCTAAAATATTTGTGAAAAAATTTTTTAAACAAAATATTTTTATTGTGAAAAAATGTTTTTGTATAAAAACAAAAAAAAAGTATACCAAATAATAATAAAAATTAGTTTTCTGTATTTTCTTATCTTGGAAAAATTTGTAGTGGCTAATTTTAAATTTTACGCAAATAAAATTTAATAATTTTTGCATGCATAAATTGTAACAGTCAATACAAATATATTTTTATATGATAAAAAGTGGTTAGAAAAATTTAATAAAACTGTTTAAAGAACAATATTGCGCTAGATTGGTAAATATTTAAGCACAAAAACATGCATCTCGAAGGAAAAGAAGTATTTGTAATATTCGTATACTAAGCAATCGAATGCAAAGCATTTGGTGCGGTAGAAATACAAATCAAAATCACATTTAATGTGCGATAAAACAAAGAAACAAATTGCTCTTTGCGCAAAGCAATGTTGTCACTAAAGCAGTTGAGTAGTAAAAATTATTTGTTTTTTTATTTTAAAAGAGTAAGTTGAATTAAATATTTTTTATTAAAAAAATTAAATAATTTTTTTTATTAATAAAAATTTATTTATTTAATAAAAAATTTATGTGAACAAATTTTTATTGTGAAATTTAATTTGGCATTGTTTCGTATTTATATAATTTTTTTCTATTATAAATATTTTTTTATATACTTTTATACTTTGTTTAGTAAAATTTTTATTTTTAATTTTAATAAATATAACTTTTTTATGTTGTTCTTTTAAATTTTTTTTATATATACCTATATATATATTTTTTTTTGTTGTTAAATTTTATTATGTTTGTACAGAATTTTTATAATTAATAATGCATTTTATTATTTAATTTGGCACTGTTTGGTATTGATATAAATTTTTTCTATTATAAATATTTTTTTATATACTTTTATACTTTGTTTAGTAAATTTTTTTTTTAATTTTAATAAATATAATTTTTTTATGTTGTTCTTTTAATTTTTTTTAATGTTTTTTTTATTGTTTTGTTTTTAATGATTTCATTGTTTTTTTTAAATTTACAGTTAAAACTATATTATCAGCAATTTTTTATTAAATTTTTTTTTCATTTAAAACTATTTTTTATTTAGGTTTTTTTTTTTTAATTTTCAAAAATTGTATATACTTTTTTTATGATTTTCATTTAAAATTTATATATGTATATATATTTTTTTTTCATATGTGTTTTTTATATTTGCTTTTCATTTAAAATTAATATATGAACAATTTTTTATTTAATTATTTTTTAATTTTCAAAAAATTTATATAATTTTTTTAAATTTTTCATTTACAATTATATTATATTTTATTACTTTTAATGTATTTTTAAGTGTTTTTTTTTTTTAATTTACATTAAGAACTATTTTATGAGCAATTTCTTATTTAATTGATTTTTAATTTTCGATGACTTTATATAATTTTTGTTTATTTAAAATAATATTATGTATTAACAATTTTTTTCAAAATTATTATTTTTCTTTAATTCTCATAGAGTTTGTATATTTTCATTTAAAACTTTTTAGTTTTATACTTTTATTTTTTGTTTATTTATTTAATTTTTGTTATATTTTTTACTGATTTTTTATATTTTTTTTCATTTCAAATTATATTTTTAACAATATTTAGTTGATCAATTTTTTTTAGATTAATTTTAATTTTTTTATTTAAAAACTTTATAATTTAATTTTTTACGCCTGTCGCCTTAAAATTTCTTAAAAAATACACACACATGTATTTGTGTTCACACAATCGATAGCGAAATCAATTTATTAACATTTAAACAATCTTAAATATTATTAAAAAATAAAATGATTAACATTTATTTTAATAAAAAAAAAGTAGATATGCTTATAAAATTATTGTTAATTCATAAAGTAGTGAGGTATATATTTCGATACATTAATTAAGAACTTAGCGCAATTAAAACAAATATATTATATAATATGTGTCTGTAAACACATACATACATCCATCTATCTTTCATATAAAAAATTCAATTAGGTACATTAATGCATTTTAAGCACAGTTGCCTTTTACTGAAGTACATTTACCTTGAAACTAGAGAAACTCATTATTTTACTTAGCCTACGACTTTAGTAAAAAACGGAATACATGAGACAGCTTAAGCAATAGATTCGTATAAAATATATAGTATTTCTTTGTATATATGTTAGTAGTAAGTAAATGGAATAAGTAGTGCTTAATGCTAGATGTAATGTATATGTAATCATAACTTCATGACACAAATTACTCACTATGTATATGTAGGAAGCTATATTTGTATATTTTAGAGAGTGCATACAACATTTGTATATATGGTATTTTATGAGCAAAATTTAAATGTTAGTAATATAATATGTATATTTGTATGTAGGTGTATATGCAGCTGACATCAGCTGAGAAGACTTGATTAGAATTGATTGCCTTTAATTAGAAGCATTGTAAATATGCAAGTGGCCGCTCGCATAGGTCATGCAAAATGCGTGTACTCATATGTATATATGTGTATGTGTAAGTTGATTCAAATATTTTATAAATGTTTGAAGAGGATGCGTTGAAAAACCATACATGTATCGAAGACAAAACACGCTGTGTCTTTATATGTATGTATGTAAATATGTGAATATATTTGGTAATACTTTAAAATAGCTTAAGTCAACTTCAGCTACGGTAGATGTTTTGCTTCACAGTTGAAAGCACGCTGTATTCTTTAGCGCTATTTTATCAACTTTAAAAACAGTTTATTTTAAGTTCTTATTTGAGCGTGATAATTAAACGTTGAGTCTCGCATAATGTGTTCGAAATAACATGAATAGTTGTCATTAACGAAAATTAGTTGTTTTAAGTCGACTTATGCTATTTTATATTTTGCCATGTACAGTTAAAAAATACTTGCTCAACGATAAAAAAAAAGAATAATATTAATTTATATACAATAATAATTATGTATATATTTCTTTTTTGTTTTTCATTTAAGGATTCGATTTCGTTGCGAGTAACTGTTAAAAAATTTTTAGTTCCATTACGTATGTTTTGTTGGTTTTTAAGTACATAATTTTCACTGGTTTAAATTGAGTAATTATTTATTTATTAAGGCAATTATATACCTCAAAGTAAAAAGTTTCACATTTTTTCTGCTTATACAACTTTTAATAATTTCATAATTAATTTTTTTTAACACTTAACATTTATATAGACACATACTACAATATGCTTGTATAAATTTTTCATTAGTTTTGCTATTCTGCACAACCCTATGATTTTATTGTATATTTTCATTTGTTAAATGTACAGTATTAAGTTAGAAATGCATGTGTATAAGTAAATATATAGCTATATATATATATATATATATATATATATAAGGGTGAGTCAAAAAACAAATATTTTTTTGTTAATTTTTTTTTTAAAGTCAAAAAACAAATATTTTTTTGTTAATTTTTTTTTTGACTAATTTGTAGTGTAGTAAATTTCCTACAAAATTATAAGTTTTGCAATTTAAAATGATATTTTTTTCATTGAGTTATAAAATTCATAAAAAAAAATTTCTTGCTTAAAATGTAAGGTTTACGAAAATTTTGTAAGCGAACTTTTGTAAAGCATTCAATTTTTTCCAAAATCTATGCAAGGAGATATTTTTTAAGTAGTTAAAACCAAATATGAAATTTCTATTTGATAACAAGAAAAAATAGAAAAAAGTAAGGCGGAGAGCCTTTTCGTTGCAATTAAGAGCTCATACTTGAAGAGACTTTCTTAGTGGAGTCTAAGAACCTATTTCTCAGAGTACTTTTTAGAGTACCAAGCGAACAAAAAAATATTCGTTTTTTTTTACCCACCCTAATATATATGTAAATATATTATTTTATTATTTAATATCTTTTAAATTTTAATGATATTTTTACAGATTGAGCGCAGCAATGTACGAGTAAGTAAACTTATAAATAAAATAAATAAAAATATGTTAAAACAGCCTAACTCGACTTAAGCAAAAATAGGTATTCAAATTACTGCAACCATTCTGTTTAGTTGCTTAAACTCTACTTTATTGTAAATTAAAATTTCAAATTAAAGATATTATTTAAATAAAGGTTCGAGTCTCGAAACAGTTGCTTCGAATATATCAAATTAGCTCGATTAACATAAGTCAACTTATTATTAATTTAAGATATCACTATAAAAATGCGCCCAATTGTAAATATATTCTTGTGTGAAAGTACGTTGAATCGCAAAGACAAAATTTTTGAAAAAAAATTTAAATTTATTGAATTTTACCGCAGTTGTACTTATTATAATTTGTTTTTGAAAAAACAAAATGAAGACAGGTAAGAATAATTTTAAATTTTTATAAATTTTTGCATTATTTTTTACAATATCTAAACCAAAATATCGCTTACATATGGAGATTACTAACAAAGAGAATCTAGTCATACCAAAACTAAGTGATCTTGAAGCACTATAAATACAGTTCTTATAGAGATTACATATAATTCAGGAATGTATTGGAGAGTTGAGCGCTTTTTAATAATATTGTAATATATTTACCATATAAACCATATAAGTACATATATGTATATACATACCATAGTATATATTTATAATGAAGTAAATCTGCCTTAACGGAAATTTTTACATTTATTCAGAATATTTTTGTATTACTATGCAAATTTTCAGATTTGTTGCTGTAATGAGTCCTGCTACAATATAATATTAAACTATCACAGTTATGTTTAGATGGTAACTACTGGTGTATGTTGTAAAATGTAAGTATGTACGTGTTTATATGTAGTATTTTTTTACCCACAAGTAAGTATATGTCTATATTAAAAATGATATATCGCTGATAGTATAGAATTTTTAATACAAATTTTTATATTTTTTTTTATTTTTAAAATATTTTTATATTGTATATATTTGTTATTGCTTTTACTTGCAAAGTATTTGCGTACAATGTACTGAGTTTCATATGGCGTGTGTTTAAGAATTTATGTAACAATATTTTTGCTAATAGCAATGAGCAGTTTTGTTTTTGTATTCTGATATAAAAAAATCAATTTAAAATATACGTTAATTCCAAACGGTTTAAAAACGGTGATAAATATTTATATTTAATTTTATTGATGGAAAAAAATATATTGACAGTTTTCTTATTTTCTTCGATGACTATCTTTTTTTGCATACCTTTTTTTTTTGGATAATACACGTAGGTTTGTACTTGTATACAAAAATTTAAACAAAAAAAATTAGCAAAAATTATATAAATCATGAAAATATTTTAAAGTTTGTTGCTAACCTTAAAAATATTTAAAATTCAATTAATATTTCTAAACGATAAAAAAACTATTGAAAAATTATATGAATGATAAAAAAATAATCATTTTATATATAAAAAACTTTAAAAAAATATACTTAAAAATTATATATATAATAAAAATTGTTAAAATTTTTTTTCTAAAAAACTTAAATTAAATATTTAGAATTTATATAAATAATGAAAATAATTAATATTTATACATATAAATAATAAAAAAATTATTGTTTTTATTTCTAAAAAAATATATTTAAAAATTATATAAAAAAAAAATATTTTTAATTTAAAAAGACTTAAGAAAAAAGTTAGTTTAGAGAAAAGTTATTTATTTTATTTTTAAAAAACTTTAAAAAAAAATATTTAAAATTTTTATGGATTGCAAAAATTTCAAATTTTATTTCTAAAAAACTTAAAAAGGAAATTTTGAAAAATTATATAAGCAATAAAAAAATTGTTAATTTTTATTTCTTTACTATTTCTAAAAAACTTAAAAAAATATATATTTAAAATTTATATAAATAATGAAAAAACTATTAATTTTATGTCAAAAGGCCTTAAAAAAAATCATTTAAAAATGATGTATATAACAAAATTATTAATTGTTTTCAAAAAACATAAAAAAAATATTTAAAAATTATGTAAATAATCAAAAGAGTTATTAAAAAACGCTAAAAAAATATTCAAAAACTATATAAATTATGGAAATATTTTAAATTTTATTTCTAAAAGACTTAAAAAGGTTTTTAAAAATTATTGTATATATGTGAATAATGGAAGAATTTTCAATTCTTTTTATTAACAAAACTTAAAATAAAATGTTTAAAAATTATATAAAAGACGAAAATATAAAAAAAAATTTTGACTTAAAAGAATATTTAAAAATTTTATGAAAAAAATTCTTAATTTCATCCTAAAACACTTAAAAAAATTTTTTTAATTATGTAAATAATTATTATGTATTATATAAAAAACGAAAATTAAAAAAAAAAATTTTTTCACTTAAAAAAATTTAAAAATTATATAAATAATGAAAAATTATACGAACTAAAAAAAGTAAAGTACTTCAACTTATGACATGAATAACTATTAGAGTAACATAATTTTTTATTTTACAAGAAAACTTATTATTTACTCTTAAAAGATTTATGACCGATTTCAATATTAAAATTTAGTTAGTTGTTAGAATTTATCAGTATTCTGATATTTAAAAAACAGTTGTTTTTGAAAATTTTCGGTTGAAAACTAATGTTACAAAATTTTTTTTCGCATTGATTTGAAATAAAAAATTGAATTAAAAATTTATTTAAATCTACTTCCATATTAAAAATAATAATGACCAGGAGTTTTATAATATTTCTTAAGAAATTTATATATTCATTTCATTCGAGTTCACTATACAAATTTAACATAAATCAGAATTATAACAAAAAACAATTTTTGTAATACATTTTTTTAGAAAATTTTCGGTTTAAAACCGATTGTTTTGGTTAACAAAAAACATTTGTTTTTATAAATCGAAATTCTATAGGAAATTAATTACGAAAATCAACGAGATTATATTTTAAATGATTATTTAAAAAGTTTTTTTTTATCTGCGCAAGTTTACTTGTGTTAGGACGGCATCAGAGCAGTTTTGTTCAGGCAACTGTATTTTGATTGCGTGTCAAAATTTATTTTTTGTATGAGAACTGTAGTATTATGTAATAAGGTATACAAATTGGTTATAAAACAAAAAAAACCAATTTTTAAGCGAACTTTTTTACAATTTTGTTTATTTTAAGCGAAAAGAATTCAAAATCAACGTACAGTGGCTGCCATTAGTTTTCAACCTCGAAATAATGTTGTTGTTTTTATAGGTACATATGTGTTTGTTAATGTATGTGTTGTACATAAAAAGTTTATTTTAAAATATCAATAAAATCATTTACGTATAGCAATATTTGTTTAAATGTCAAACTTAATATGGCCTATACAGTTACTTCTGTTTTTTTTTTGTTTTTTGGTTAGTAATTTATAACAGTTAAACATTTGTTAAGTACATTTACAATGCTACACAACTTTTACATATATGTTTTGGTTATAATTACCTACAACTATTTGGTATACATTTAACTAATCACACACAGTAAAAATTACACGCTAAAAACATTTGCATATATTGGCAACATTTCACTTTTCTCGACTATTTGGTAAGTAATTGCTGTAAGCTTCAACTTTTTAGTAAGATAAAATACAAAAAAGTATAAAAATTTATTTTAATACTCTTTTTCAGGTATGTCTTTTGCTATAAGTATGCATATATATTTGGTTCGTTGTTGAATTCACTGTTGGATTGCTTTGCTTCACTTGTGTCAAAGTATTTGTACAACCTACTGAGACTCGCCTTCTCAAATGTGTAGTGTGGTCATTGTTGTCGTTGCGGATAACGGCGCATCACCGCGCTTCCATTGCTGCTCATCGTCGGTTTCCAAGTTTTCCACTGTAATTATGGAGCTACGATTCCCGGGCGCTTTGTTGTTGGCATTGCCATTTTTGTTTTGATAGTTATGCACCTGCAACGGTTCAGCAGTTTGTTGTTGCTGTTGCTCTTGTGTCAATTCATGATTTGGACGGCGACGAAATGCCTCGACGGAGCTTAAGCGTCGCCAAGAGGTGCCGGTGATCGCCAAGCTATGTGGTGGCGTTATATAACGTATTGGTTTACCGTTGTAGCAGTTTTATTTTGATGTTATGCGTATTCATTTTAAAATGTTTGGCATTTGTTGTTGTTGTTTATGCACAATTTTGCCACGCATTTTGTTATTTCAAATTTTTATTATTTCAAATTTAAATTGCATTTTTTTTGTGTTAGCATTTCGTAAAACGTGGTGAACACACACACACACAAACAAACGCGTTGCGGGGAGGGAAAGCGCACAAAAGTGGGGAAATAAAAGAAAAGAAAAAAGTGAATGACAAATAAATTTACAACAATTTTCATGTACATACATACATATGTATATACTTCTTATATAAGACTTCTATGTAAACTAATAACCGGAAAATATATAATAATTACACTAAGTTGAAAGGGGAGCAGGCATTACTTGGTCAGACAAGAGCACATGTCAAGGCAGTATATAGTATTTTTAAGTTAATTAATTTAGTTTTACAAAAATCATATTTACATTTATTTCGTGAAATTAATGCATACAAACAATGACTACTTTTTTTTTAAACTAACACACCAAGTTTTATAGTAAGGTACATATATATTTAATTTTTTTTTTCTATAATTCTTTAACGCTAATCGTTGTAATTTTTAACAAAATTGTGTTTGTTTTATTTCGCTTTCATTTAATTACTAATATGTCAAATACAAATAATTGCTTTTATATAAACTTTTAATTAAAATTAAAAAGGCTGCAAAGTAAGTTGTTCTGGTGCGCTATACCGCGCACAGTTTTTTCAGAAAAATTTTTACAACAAAAACACTTAATAATACATAAATTATTAATTAATTCCTGCCGTTAAAAAGTGATAAATAGCTATTGCAATTTTTTTTAGGAAATAAATTAAATATTTTTTAAATTGTTTTGCTTAAAAAATTATGTTTAAATAAAATAAGTATAGGAAATTACTATTATAATTAGTTTAGGTATATATATAGATATTATAAAATTATGTTCCCACTAAAAAGTGAGCAATAACTATTGTATCAAAAAAATTAAATTAAAAAAAATTTTTTTTACATTTTAATGCAATAAAGTTTATAGCATAAATAAAGAGTTTCTTTAAAAATATTTTTAAAAAAATTATACAAAATAATATTATTTTTAGTATATAGCTAAAACTTTATTAAAACCCAATGCCTTTTTTGAGCTAAGCATTTACAAATGTGCATAATTTCAAATAAAAATATTTAAAACAAATAGAAATATTAGTAAAAAATTTAAAAAAAAACAGTTTTTTCTTATCATTAGCAATATGAGTGGATGGAATCTCAATTTTTTGTTATTATTGCCCGCTAAAACCTGATAAATTCATATTTTTACAGGCTTAAGGAACAATAAACACCCAGTGTGAAATTTAAAAATAAAATCATATGTCTTATATTTTTTTAGGTTATACCTTTAAAAATAACATAATAAAATTTTAAATCGGTATCTCAAATAGTTTTTGCTTTACTGCCTTCTAAAGTGCAGCCGCTCAGTTCAATCAGTGTCATCAGTTTATTTTTAAACGCGTTTAACAGCATTTTTCGAAAATGCTGCAGTGGTTACTCAGAGCCAAACCAATCAGATACGATCACTAACAAATTCTTCATACAATAACCATGGGATTAGAGGACGTTTTTTAGCGCCGTCAAGATTGCGTGTAACTCGAAAAATATTAAAATATTTTGCCACAAAAATTTTACTGCGTATTCTTACGTATTTAATGTTTAAATATACCGTTTAAGTTTTGAAATAAATGATTCAGTAGTTTTTTTTTTTTTGTTGTTTTTTGAACTCCGAAAAGTCGCTTTTTTAAGCTTTCACACTAGCTGTGCCCCTTAAGCAGCAGAAGTAATACATTATACCTTTAAATACAGTTACAAAAATCATTATTCGAAAATACAACGCTGTTTTCCATATACAGACAAATCTTCACCTTTTTTCTTATATAAATAACAATTTAATTTTTTTTTTTTAATAAAAAGTACATCATACATTTTTCTTAAATAAATTATAAAATGCAAAATAAATAAATAGCATAATTTACAAATCAATTTGCTAAGTAATATTTTCAAACTGTAACAAAGGCAATAAAAACAAATTTTGCTTAAGGCAAGTATCGTCGCTTAATTCGAGATATTAAAGATCGTCTAAAAATCGAGCAAAACGCCGTTCAATAGTTCAAACAATAAATTTTCAATTTCTTTTCTTTTTCCTTTTTTATCTTAGTTCGGTGCTGTAATTTCGATTCATTTGTTGTTGTTTTCTTTTCTTTTTGGGACTTTCAATTATATACGAACTTGCAAACGTTGGAACGATTCGAGACGCGACTGTTTCGGAAAGTACATGCTTCGATAACTAGTTCTTTGATAGTAAAATAAATAAATAATTTTAATACAATTTCAATCGTAGTTTTAAGTTATAAAAAAATAATAATAATCTTAAGTAGTGTATTTTGCAAAGGCTAATTTATTTACAAATTTTTAATGGAATTTATTTTCTTGAATATATAATTTTATTTTAAACGCAAATTATCTTCCACTATTTTTGTTTTATATACTAAAACTATTTATATATTTATAAATTATAACTATATTTATGTATTCCTAAGCTCTACTCTAGTACTAATTACATACAATTTAACAAGTACCAAAAATAAATGCTTAATTATATTTAAAATTACAATAAAAATATTTGTGTATAATTTTTTAGATATTTTGCCGAGCTTCTCGTTTTATATGTGTTGTGTTTCTTAGCGTTTTCCAGCAATTGAAGCGTCCTACAAGCCTTAAGCCAACTCCAAAGAGCTTACGAAAGCTTTTTCGAAGCTTTTGTGCAGCACGTTTACGCACAGCGTTACGAAATTTTCTGTCGAATTAGTTTTTTCTATAATTTAATAGTTTTCTTCAACCAAAGGATGTCAGCCCAACAACTCTTAGATAAAACTTTTCGGTTTAGTTAAACTTTTATTACATGCAATATCTTAATAATGAAGTTATTCATATTTTTTGTAAAAATTTTGTGTAAATATTTTTGTATGACATGTGTGTGTTTTTTAAAGCAATATGTTGAGTTAATGACATTTCAGTATATCAGCTTAACGAAGATGAAATGCTAAGCATGATTTAGGTACTAGCACCAAATGTTGTAAGTGGTGTCTTTACAAATTCTTAAAATCGAGTTTAGCTGACATTATTATTAAAGCATATTTTTTATTATATATATTTCTTTTAATTATTTATATTTATATAACTTAGAAAATATGTAAAAAAAAAGTAACGTTATCTTGAAATTATACAGTTTTTAGTTTAATTTTTTTTTTAATAATTACTTTTTCTTTTATAATTTATTATTTATTTAATTATTAGTTACAGTTTAAAATATTCACATTCTCTTTTTTATATTTTCCTATCATTTTTAAGCATTTTTATGATATTATTTACTTCATATTATTTTAGGTTTCTTTTTTTTTTTTTTTATAATTTTGAATTATTGTATTATTCCGTTATATTTTTTATTTAATTTTTTATTTTTGTTCTTTTATTTTTATTTTGCATTCCTCCCTTTCACCCGAGCAACTCTGTCTCAATAAAAATATTTTCAATTTTTACACCACAATTGTTGAAAAAAGCAAAATAAATTTTTTTTTTTTTAGTTTTGAAGCAAAAAATAAAAAAGCGTGTAAAACAGTGCAAAAACAAACAGGTGTTCAGAAAAGTGCAATAACAGTAGTTTCAATCAATATATGTACACATAACAAAATCTTAACAAAGCTCATAAAGCAATTTGCTCGAAACGATTTCAAACCAAACAAAAAAAAATAGTAGACCAACAAACAAGGGTCATACACCAAAAATATAACAAACACAATTTCGTTAGGGGATTTCTTTTTTTTAATAGAAAAAATGTACACGTACAAAATACATCACAAAATAATTGTAACGAAACACGAACGTTCATGAAAATTAAATAAATGCTACATATGTACAGTTTTCAAATACTAATACAAACTAAACGCTGGGTGAGTTGGAAAAAGATTGTATAATAATTGTAATCCTACAGAAATTGTTTTTGAAACATAAAAAATTTGACTAAACCGAATTGGAAAGTGTAATAAAAAATTTATATATATATATTTTGTTTCAAAAATATTTACGCCTTAAATATTTGCGTAGTAAAAAAGTGACACTACTTTTGCGACTACGTATTTGAATATTAATATTTTTTAAATATTGAGACTAACTTTTTTCAAATAAAATATAATTGTGTTAACTAGTATACTACATAACAATTCAAAATTAAATTTTTTGTGAGGCTTCAGAGTAAACCCAACAAAAAGCAAAAAACACTGTACGACAGTTTACTGAAACGGTAAATGCCGAAGGAACGAAATGTGTGGCTTATGAGTAAGAAATTGGTTCAGTAATAATAAAAAAAAGAACGACAATGCATATATGTTTATATTTAATTTTTTTTTTTTTTTTGTTTTGAAGCATAGGTATAAAAGAATAAATCATTACATTTATTTTAAGAAATAATTTTAATGTTTTTGTACGAGTACATTATTGTCAAATAGTTTATATTTTGACTCGCAAATAAATTATTTTTGAAAAATAAAAAGTGTTCAACGAACGTTTCAGATTTTTTTTTTTGTAATACAAAAGTTTTTTTAAAATATTTACAATAATAAAAGAAAACTCAACCGCTCACAAGCCACACATTTATATTTCCAAAACAGGGATTTATATCAATCAATTTTATATATCAAATCAAAACTATATGTTTTTATTCGCTACTTACGATGTTTTCGATTCTCGTATCACATTTTCAGGATCATAACGTCGTATCTCGGATTCACGTACGGCCTCCGTGAGTGACTTGAATACCGTATTATGCACGCTGTAGCAAGAAAAATAAGAAAATTTATTAGAAAATTACAAATAAAAATACAATTAAGTATATAACTTACATTGTAAATAGAATATCCGGCAAAAGCGTCGTTATAGGTATGAGCAAGAGACCTAGCCAGAAAACGATCGTTGAAAACACCATACGATCCATGCCCAAAAAGATTGGCGCCAACATTATGGTCGGCCAGAAGTTACTATAGATCACCATGAACAAGAACCACATAGCAATTGAGCCCCAAATGGAGGCGTGTGTCATCCAGGTCCATGAGTTGGTGATAAGGCCAGCTTTTAGACAAACTGTTACGACGACATACTAGTGAAGAGAGCAATAACATAAATATATATCAAGTTTAGGTAAATTGCTCAATGAAAAACTATATAAAAACAGAAAAAAATATAAAAACAGAAAACATTAAAGCAACATTACATTCGCTTCAACACTTACCGTGTACACAATATTGCCCAAAAAGAGGTAATCACTTGTTTTGCCGTCAGGCCACACGGACATCGTCGTCATCAGCATCGGCAGCCAGAAGAGCGATACCGAATGCGAAAGCGCATTGAATATCCACACCCAAAACACTTTGACATTGAAGAGTTTCGCATCCTGTGATGGTTTATACAATTGCGGATATTTCAACATCGTTTCCGCTGAACAAACTTTATCGAAGAGACCCAATGCGAATGGCGGCAAAGCGGTAAACATAACATTATATAAACCGATAGTCCAACGCTCGAAGAGAATTTGACCCGACCAACCCGAATAGATGGCGAACCACAGCTCAATCACATACAAGCAGACATTCTTGTAGAAACTGTATAGTATCAATTTGGTAATGCGACTATAATTCCAGGCGCCATGCACCAATAACAAACGTTTCAAATAACAAAATTGTGCAATCGAATAGTCGGAAGCGCAAGCTGCCTGCAGCCCTTCCACGCCCGAAATACCAACACCGACATGAGATTTCTGTATCATGGCCACATCGTTGGCGCCATCACCGATGGCGAGTGTTACGGCACCAGTGGCTTGTGTTACGGATTCGACGATCTATAGCGGAGGTGTGTAAGAGCGAGTAGGAATATGCAGAATATGACGCTTGAAATGTATGTATGTAGTTGAATGTTTAACAACTTACCTCCGCCTTTTGCATTGGTGAGACGCGACAACATATCACCACCCGACACACTAAGCAGAGTTCTAAAAATTCCTGCTTCAAATCACAGCTTAAAGCATACTTCAACGTTTGTCCATCGATCACCAGCGCCACATTGCACTCCTTCATATCAGTGCTCTTCAGCTCGTCCACGTGTCGGTGGATAATATCACGTGTGGCCTGTAAAGGTATATACAAATTTTTATAGTCTTATACAAATAATAAAGCAACATCAGCCACCAACTTACATCTAAACTACCCTCATTGAGTATAATTATATCCATTGAGTGAGAAATGAGTTTGCACGAGTAGCCGATATTGATCGCTGTCTCCTGCTTATCACCCGTCAACACCCAAATATAAATGCCCGCCTCCAGCAGTGAGGCTATCGTTTCTGGTACACCCTCCTGCAGTTTATCTTCAATTGCTGTCGCACCCAATAATATCAGATTGTTCTCAATCAAATTGGAGGCATCCTCCACTTTGCGCTCACGATACTGCAGTGCCGTCGAAGCCTTGTGATACGTTTCCTTCCACTCATTATATACATCCTCGGGTATCACCGAAACGGCACAGCACAAGGTACGCAAACCCTCCGAAGCGAACTCTTCCAAATGATGCAAAGTGGCATCACGATACATTTGACCATCGGGTGAGAGACGCTCATAAATCACCGTATCGGCACCTTTGCAATAGAGTTTAATTTCACCGGTTGGCGCACGCACAATCACCGACATGCGCTTGCGCGTCGAAGTGAATTCGAGTACATTGAGTACTTCGTAGCGTTCGATTGTGCCGAGTGCATTAATCTCTACATATTGTGGTGTGCGCGATTCGAAGATGTAGCCGAACATGCGCGCACCCTCGATAATGGCGCGCTCATCGGGACTGGCGGCGTGATAGATAATAGAACCGTCTTCGAATTTTTCCGGTATGACTGTGTGGCAAACGGCGAGTAATGTGAGGAATTCTTTGATAATGGGCGCGGTGTTGTGATGGCCGAGTAAATTCTGTGGTTGAGAATTTTATTATTATAATACTTTTTTACAATAAAATTACAAGTGAGTTGTAAGACTTGCCTGCACAATCGACGAGTCCTCGGGTGAAGTTGCTGGTTCGTACATAAAACGCGCCACCGAACACTTTTTGAACACCATAACATTGCGCGTCAGTGTGCCGGTCTTATCGGAGAATATATACTTCACCATGCCCAGTTCCTCATTGAGATTCGAAGTGCGCGCCATTGCCGGCGTATCGGTTTCCGCATAGTACATATGTATGTCAAAATTTATGAAGATGGCCTTGAATAAGACATAGTAGGAAAAAAAAGGTTAGAGAAAAAAATTGACAACAAAAATATTCAGATATTTAAAGTAAAGAAACTTACCTGTAGAAAACGTACTAACTCCAAAGTCACTTGTAAAGATATCGGTATAAGATTATTGTAGAGAATAAAGAATGTCAATAAATTATAGCCAACGTTTTTACTTTTGATGTCCTCTGAAATTATAAAAATTGTTTATAATTTTTTTTTAAATTTGCAATTTGTTAAAAATTAATAAAATTATATAATGCTTATATTCATGTACATTTATATTATTTCAGTGGTTAGCCCAGTCTACACTTTAGCCTAGAAAAAACTTTATTCAAATTATGAAATATTGAGTTCAAAAACATTGTTTTTCGGTACAAACCGATGCATTGTCGAAGCGTTTGGAGCGATCAGCCGAAGCACGAAAAATTTTATATGCTTTGCTCGAAACTGTTTTTTTTTTAAATCGGGTGACGATGGTACTCGAAGACTGTTGCTCGTATTCAATAGAAATTTTGACTGTAGCTGCAGCTAGCAGTAAGATTATCTAGCAATTTATGTTCGAATGTTTTTTTTTATAATAAAAAAAATTTTCGCTTCAGTATTTTGGTCGAAAATTTAACCTTTTTTTTAATTTCGCGAAAAATAATATAAAGCTAAAAAATATATGTGTATATGGTATATATATATTGTATATATATATATATATATATGCATATATTCTTTCATAAAGAACAAGTTCCTAGAATTACCGTCGCCCACCGAAGCACTCTTGAGAAAGAGTGATACCGAAAATTGACCGGAAAGCCGCCATTTTGTAACGAAATGTCAATTCAAATTTTTGATATAAAGAGAGAATTTCGATAATTTTTTTCTTTCCCACAAAATAAATTGTCATAACTAAGCCTCTTTCAAGGACTCTACACTAACCAAAACACTTAAAAATAATTCTCTCACACTCACCACTTATGCCCAAATACCAAAAAATTTTCGCATAATCGCGCGTCCAGAAAAAGTTCAATATCGCACTGGTCAACGATAAAACCACCAATATAACGAAGAGCATTAATATCTGTGTATTCGTTACTGTGTCGACGGTTGAGCGTTTTAATGGCGCTGAGGTAGAGTTTTTCATAAGTTTCGTATCGTGTCCGGTGTAGACGACAACGCCGAATATCCAGGCGGTGTTGCGTAAAACTGCGCCGCGTTGCAATATCTGATCGGGGCCGAGAGCAACGGTGCTACAGAGAGGAGAGAGAAAGTGAGAGGCATAATTATGAATTTATATAATCAAATATTTTTTAGTAAAAACTTACGGCTTAGTATTCTCCTTAAGTACGCCATTGAATTCGTACAAATGTCGATTTGGCAGCTCGCATTCGACGGTGCCGTCCAGCTGCAGCAGATCTTTAGTTTCCAGACATTTCGCAGTTGCTGGCACACCCTGACGTATCTTTAGATTGGTTTCACCATCTAAATTTGCTGTTTCGATGAAGCACATCGCTTGCGGTTCACTGTGTTAAAAGAAAGTAATGAAAATATGAGACATTGGTAAGTAGAAAATGAGACATGTCGGAAGAGTCCATTACACCGAAGCTACAATACGATATCTCGTCAAATGACAAAGATTTTCATACAAGCACTTTATTCCGATCGCTCAGTTTGTATGGCAGCTGTATGCTATAGTGCTGCGATATCGCTGGTGCGGACAAATGAGCAGCTTCTTGGCGAGTGGAGGATGTGGGAAAAATTTTCGACCGATATCTCAAAAACTGTGGGACTAGTTCAAGTATATACAGACAGAGCTTAAAGCTTCATAAAGTTTACACATCCAATAATACCCTACCTAACATTTAAATACAATACATCGATTACTCACCTCGACGACAACAACAGTATATCAGCGGGAAAGAATATATTATTGGGTATTTTTACAATATCTCCCACACCGATATCACGCCATCGCACCGAGGTCCAAGCGCCATCTCGTAACACCTCCACCATACGATGATTGATTTCATTATCCGCACGATGGCGTTTCTACATTTCCAAAAAAAAAAAAACAACACAGAGTAATTGTTATAACTAACAATACATTTTTTTTTTTAATTTACTCACAATGTCTTCGACGATCTCCTTAATGCCGCTCACAGATAAAATAAATATTAACGGTACCAGTGTTGTGTAGCGACCCGTCGGTGAGACATCAGGAATTTGTTGTAATAATGCAATTAATAGGAAAAAACAATTCGAATAACGTCTAAATTGTTCAAAAAGGAACGATGGTAAAAAGCTTATAAAACTGCAGAGAAAGAGAGGAAAGCGAAGAGAAATTATTAAAAATTAATAAAAATATATATTTGAGGTTAATAGATAACTATTACTAATAAATTATACATATAATATAACATAAACACAGCCACAGCTTGGCTGTGCTTTTGCGCTCTAAAAAAGTTGATTAGTTACTCATACGCCATGGCGCACCAATAATGCGTAACAGAAAATAATCTAAATCAATAAATGCACGAAGAGTTCATACGAGTTCATTGTTGGTTATTAATAAAATATTTAAAATATGGGAAGTAGCTGCTGCGCTCATCAACAATGAGATTTAAAACCAGAAGTTAGATGCGCTATGTGCCGTCAACGCAAACGCAGTTGATATGAGTTTTTATCTTTTGTCTATTTGTACTATTTATTCATTGTACTTTTCAACAGCTAACTTGTAAATTTATGAAAATTATTTATTTTTAGAATTATTGAACTGTTAACTAAGTAATTATCATTAGCTAATTGGCTTAGAGTAGTGGCATGTGGTGGTCAAACACTGTAAATATAGTAGTAGACGCTTTCTACACGCCACTTCCTTTCACGTCATGTTTAAAATAGATAGTTTCTAGTTATAGTTCTATTTTCCTCAAACTTGAGTTTGGCGTTTTTTTTAAATTTTTTTTTTTAATAAAAATACATTATTTCGAATCATTAAAGTATTTTCAGTGCGAATCTACGGTGAATGTAATTTATAACGAGTTTGATACTCACCTATATTTCGCAGTTGATATGTGATTGTTGCAAAACTTCTGTATTTGCGGTCGATTCAAAAATATTATTCGTCTATCCGTATCATCGGCCGCAGCCGCTGTTGAAGTGAGGTCCTCATCGTCTACGAAGAAATATAAGAATAATTGGTCAAATAAATTACAAGTACTAGAATTTATGCAAATATGCCAAGAAAATATAATAGATTTCAAAAAAAAAAAAATATTTTAAAACATAAAAATGCAATTTTAATAAACTTTATATGAACAAAATATATCTAGGTAAATGAACCTGCATTTGAAAAACAACTACAAATATTACAACTAACAAGAAAGAGACAAGGAGGCAGTATGCGAGCATTATTTTTAATGTAGAGTCATATACTTAAAAAAAATATCAATTAGCCGGCATCGATTCGCCATTGCTCTGCTCGCTAACTTAGAGCAATGCTCTTTTTAAGACAGTATTCTTTTAAAGCGCTGCCAGTTCGTTTGAGCAAATAGCATAATGTGTTCGATTCGCTACTCTCTAATGCATGGCGAAAAGCTAGTAGCTGTCTTTGAGTTAAAAGCAACAACAAAGTGAACGAGTTGAATTGATACCAGATTGTATGCGGTTACCTCATTTTCAAAACATAAGACTTAAAATAAATAATAGTTTGTTATAGAAACAGTAAGCCAAAAACTAAGATGTTATCAAAGTGAATTTTATCGCTGCAAAAGAATTTCTCCAGAAACTAAACACCAGCTGTCTTCGATTCGTCATTTCGCTGCTCGCTTCTACTCTCATCTAAAAGCAACAACAAAGTTATCGAGTTGAATTCGTGGAGACGAGTATGCGGATACCGCATTAAAATGGTATAGCCGTTATCTGCAGTGCTACCAAGTTTTTGTTTGTTGGTTATACCCCTACTGCTGCCCACTTTAGCATCTGGTATAATTTGTTCGATTCGCTGGAGAGTTACGCTTGGCATATCGTAGACAGCTACTATATGCAAACACAAGTGTTGCCAATATGTCGGAGTAACTCGTATAATGTGTTCGATTTACTACTCACTAACGCTTGGCGTGCCGAAAAAAGCTAATATTAGATTGGCATGAGTATATAAAAAATACTTGAATAAAATGAAATTGTCAAATGTCTGAGTACCCTACGAAGGATATTTCTTTTTCTAGTTTTGTAGTCAAAAAATTCGCTCAATTGGTTTAAATTGGTATAAAATGCGAATGTTTCGCTCTCATCTTGCTTCACATATAGAAGGACCTAGATTTTTAATAATGCTGATTTCATTTCATTATAATATTAAACAAAACAAATGGCAAGCATATGTACTTATATATATTTTTTTTCTATAAAGCCATTGCCGTTGCGTCTGCAGACTTTCAGGCAGAAGGTGTGCCGAAATCCGGTTAGCCTTACAAATGCGAAATTTATGAACTTCTACTAGACATATGTTGAGCACACAATGCCAACTAAACAAAATTTATACACAGCAGTTGTATATTTTTCTAAATGTTTTATTGCCCGACAAGATTTATGATTGGAAAATATACACGTATATGCATACAACCAAGGAATATACAAATATAGGTGTCTGCATGTGTTTATTAAAGTCTCAACTAAATTTATACATGCAACAAACCGCAGCAATTTCATATATTCAAATATAAACTCAATCTACAATGAACGCGTAACGTAACGTAGTGGAAATTTTAAGGTTATGTGATTAACTCAGAATAAATTTCAGTTTCTCGCACATATAGACAAGTTTATTATTTTTATTTTCTGATTTTACTGCAACCAGCTGTACATTTAACACTAAATGTGTGTGTGTTTGTCACATGTGTTTTGGATTAACAATTTATTAATACATTTTTGATCATATCAAATAAATGAACGCTTTCGGACTTCTACAGTAACGTTAAATTTATAGCTAAAATAAAATATGACCAAAAAATTATACATCACGCGTACATAGCCTTAACAAAAAAATCCGAACCCACAAAATGTCTCAACTGTCTGACATAACCTCAAGCGATGAGTGAGTGCACTACCCGCAAATTCACCACCTCTCTCTCTCCCGGCTCAACGTACACTTTAAGCATTCCATGTTGCATTAACTTTACAACAACAAAACACTATGAGCTTTTGTGCACTTATCATCGTCATTCTCATTCATTTCGTGTTTAAGAATAGTACAAATTACAGTTAGCTGCAGTTCTAGTAATTCATCGCATGTCCTTCATAGCGTTTGTCCGCAGGAAGTCCATTAAAGGCTTGCCTTGCGGTTATGCTTCGTTTGTTATCCTTACAATAATGACCTTTTAATATCTTTTTGCAAGATTTAAAAATTCCGTTTTTACTATTATTCCAATTTGCTACTTTTCTAACGCATGCGGTCGCAAATCACCTTCAGCAAGTGGAAATGCAATTTGTGGTAACTGAGTGAGAAGAACGCAAACTCGTCATTATGAAAGGGTTAAAATAAAAGGATTTACACAAAAAATTCCGCTTGGAAGAATATGAATTTTACTCTTTTATATGTGAGCTTTAAATTAAACAACTCAAGAGACCGCACCATAGCGGTGTCAAAGCCGACATTATAATTTTTATGCTCCGAAGTGTGCCTTAACTTTCTAGCTAAAATTGCGTCTAGAGAAAAATTAAGTCTAGATTTGGAAGAATATGAAACAGTCCAAAAATACTATGAAACTGTCCAACTTTCGACAAACTAGCAACGCCATTATTGAAACAGAACGTGGACAATGAACGAGACTACTACAGTTTGAAGTATAAGATATCTAAAACCATTTTCGACATCTAGTTTCTTAGAAAGTAGACAAACTGGAAACATCAGATAGAAACTCTAGCTTTTACAAACACTCGTCGAAGCCAATGAATATTTTCGTAAGAACATTATAATGAGGTCTTAAGTTAAGTTAGGCTTGGTTAGATGCCTGATCCGCCAAGATGGCGGGGGATCGCACTTTCACTTCACAGAGTTCTTTGTGAAACCAAATAAAAGGTCTGAGGAGTTTGATATTAGCTCTGGACAAAGCGGCTTAAGCCTACCACAAAACCGCTTAGATACCTTATTTCTATTTCCGCTATTTCACCAAAATGTCTTAAAGTGTGAGATACGGGGTATTTTAGTCTTGATCCGACAAAGGCGGGACAGAAGTGTTGAGTTGTTTCAAACGCAACCTCTTCCAAGTCGCAATGATCACGTAAAATTATGATAAAACTTACTTAACTAAGACACAACTCAGAGCGAACCAAAACAAACACGAAAATATAAAACCCCAATCCAAATCAAAAAAAACAATCTGAAACGAAACTTGATACAATAAATGCACACAACAAATCCCAAAGAGGGCTAGCGATAAGGATTCCATTCAAAATGACAACATAAAATATATATATATGTTATTAGCGTTTGTAAGAAAATTGGAATTCGCTTACTGCTTAAACGCATACGCAGCGCACGATACACATTGCGAAAGGACATTGTGTCGCGTCGACGACGACGCGCCTCCGCCTGACGTTCACGTTCGCGTATACGATTTTGACGGCGTGTTGCCTCCTCCTCAACAACGCTAATGCTACTTTTCCGCCGGCCCGTTCCGTAGCACGACGCTGATGTCGAGGGACCAGCAGCCGCAGCACCTTCAGCCCCACCGTAGTTGCACTCACCGACCGACGCAAAGGCGATACTCTCCGCAGAGGAACTTTTACGTTTAACGAAACCCAGGCTGAATGATTGTATGCGAACTTGTGGGTGATATACGGTAGTGTTTGTGAAAAAGAGTGCTGTTACTAATATGCTGGCGAGTTGCGTGTTTGTTTGTGTTGTATTATGTTTTCGCGCGCAGTATATGTATACATACACTGTATACAAATAGTATGCGTAAGAGCTTATTTTGTAGTAAAAACTGATTATTTTGTTTATTGTTTTGCTTTATAAACAAGTAAAAGTCCTTGCTCTCGCACTCTTTGTTACTTCTATTATAGTTTTCTCTTCTTCGATTTGTTCTCTGAATTTATTCGTTTACTTTTCTTCTTTGTTTTCCGAACAATTGTTGCTTCACTGTATTTTGTTTTTAAGCGCGCTCTTCTTTTCACTTGCTTGCTTTTTTCATTTCCGAGTTTTTACTCTCTTACTCTCTGTTATACGTTCACTTTCTTCTCATTTTCGCTCTAAAACCTGATTGGTGTAGTAGCGCATGACCTTTGACATTTCATTCAGGACGGATGGATGATAATACTCTTTTCGTTTTTTTTTTCGTGCACACTAGTTTTCTTTGCTTCACTCTTTTTGAAATTATATATTGAGATTTTTTTATATTTATTTACTGCTTTTAGGAAATTATCTTTAGTCGTATTATAAGTAATCATTACAAGTGTCCTTTTGATAGGTAATCATTATAAGTAATAATTACAAGCAATCACAAGTAATCATTATAAGTAATCATTACAAGTAATCATTATAAGTAATCATTATATGTAATCATTATATGTAATTATTATGTATAATCATTATTAGTAACCATTACGGTGTTATTATTGCAGTCTCGACGCACATATTGTTACTAAGAAACATAGAATTCGCTCATAATATTGTCTACACACTCGTAAGTGTTGAATTAGATCGCCACTAAAAACCAAGATATAAAAAAAATTAAAACAGGCACGCGTTCTCTTCACTAGTGAAAAGGGAACGTTATTTTTCTTGATATCAGAAACTGATAAATGAAGACAAAGTTTTACATGATTTTCTTATATATTTAAAAGTAGCTAAGAATCAACTAATTCGCCTCTTATTACTTTTTGTTAACATCCACGATATTTTAAGAACCGCGTACTTCATCTTTTTCACTCAACGTGGATCTGGAAACCACATTTTTTCGTCTTTATTCCTTATATAGACCGAAAACTGCCTAAAATCTAGTTGCAAAAATACCGTTTGCTAGATAAAAGCAGTTCCTAGAAGCCATTACTAAGTTCAGCTTAAATAAGAGAGCGAAGTTTTAAAGCTAGTCTTAGCATTAACTATCAAAGTATATTAAGCGGAAACGCAGTATTTTTTAATTAAAAAATATAATATATAAAAAATTTGATATTCAA